GTAGATTAAATATGGTAAATAAATAAATAAATTATAGGCTCAGAGCATGGTATTTATACAGGAGATGACTTCTCCAATTGAATTCTGACAGTTGTGAGACTCATATAAAGAGAGTCGACTCCCAGAGTCACTCTCCACTCCTCACCCATCCCTCCATCTTCTCTGTGGAATCCTATTGAAGAAACTCAACTCTCTTTCCTTCCATATCCCATCTTTCTGTTTGATATGTTTTTCAGCCTGAAGAAAATATTCCCTAAAGGTGGATCCATCAGGGGCTGCATGAAAGGCTTGAAAGCTCTTGGTAGATACGTTGACTTAAAACGTATGAACACAACAGGAGTCAGCTACGGATGTACCTTGGACCTCCTGGTAAGAAGAGTGCATGTGTTCTGGTCCTTTAAAAAATGAGCTTGCTTGATTCATCGAAAGTTTAAATAGGGATCATCTAGATGTTCTTCAGAAACTCACAAACAGGAGGCTGTGAGGGAAACTTTTATTTGTGTCTATGGGCAAATGGCACTGTAATTTCCATACTGGTAGTGGGACATTGCATTGTGATACAGAATGAAGGGAACAGAAGAGGACATAACAGAAGGGCAGGGAACAATGAAGGGGGATTTTTAAGGTCCATGAATGGCTTATGATACTAGATTGAACACTTTATTTAATGCTGCTGTGTTAGATAGACTGTAGCTTGGAAGCCCAGGTTATTGGAAATTCCATAACCTATTGGAATTAACTGCACCATAATCTTATTGAAAAGGTAAACATGATGTCACATCCATTTGGCAAATGTGAATCTCCATGAATATGTCGAGACCACCTTTTGAAAACCACTAGTCGAGAAAAGCATGATCTTGTTAGAAGTCAACTCTTTGAACAAGTGATATTCACAAGCATTCATGTAATGGCACACAGGTAACTCAGCTGTTAAACTGAAGAACCTGTCTTTAAACTGCCAAGGATAAAGACATGCCACTACAAAAATATATTTGGTTAGCAGAAGATGGTTGTTTCTTTGGAATTGAATTTGCAGTTGCTCATCTACTCTCCCTTAAAACCTCTTGGTTAAAATATGCACTCAAGAGACAAAAACAAAGTCGTCTTTGAAAAATAACATATCTTGTTTACTCATAAACAACTTGTATTAATTCACCATATAGGCATGCTTCTTATTAGAGTTCAGCTAGATAAGATGTAGTTTCTTCTCTGTGTTGAATATACAGGGTATGATGTTTAGGCACCGGGACTGTGGCGCAGCTGGCTGGGAGTCAGCTGCATTAAGATCACTACTGACCAAAAGGTCATGAGTTCGAAGCCAGCCCAGGTCGGAGTGAGCTTCTGACCATTGTGTAGCTTGTTGTCGACAAAGACAGTTGCATCTGTCAAGTAGGAAATTTAGGTACCGGTAATGCAGAGAGCCTAATTTAACTAATTTACGATGCCATAAAAATCTCCAGCAACTGTGCAGAAAGAATGAAGAAGTACTCCATCATTGTCACTAATGGATGGTGAAGTGACAGCTCCCCAGGTGGCCAGAATACCCTCAGGAAAGCTGGAATGTTAAATAACCTCTGTGTGTCTGTATATATATATATATGTTGTGTGTCTATGGGATTGAATGTTTATGATATATATGTACATTGCAATCCACCCTGAGTCCCCTGCGGGGTGAGAAGGGTGGAATATAAATACTGTAAATAAATAAATAGGGAAAAAACGAAGACAGACAGTCATGACCAAGAAGAATAAGCTTTGACCGGGGAAACCTGGAAGTACGCTACTCTGTCTGGGACCAGCTCAATGGTCACCAGTGCACCCTTCCCCTCCCCTCTCTCCCCCTCCCTCTATCTTTTCCTACTTTCTTTTCCTCCCCTCCTTCTAAGCTCTCACAACCCAACCTGCTTTTTATTGTTCCCCAACTTTCCATGTATGCCGATGCCTTTCATTATTGTTTTTTAAAAATAATATAATGCTGAACACTTTCTATCACGCTCCACTCTAGGGAGCACATATTCTAAATAAAAATAATTATAAAAAATAGGTAAAAGTATGATGGCTGGGACCTAACGCAGTGAGAGACGCAGTTGCAACAGAGTTGACAAGGTAGTTCACTGGAAGGGGGGGTGGGGAAACAGCCTGTTAGGCTCATTAACTCCTTCAAAAGAACCCCTGACAGATGGCCATCCAGCCTCTACTTAAAAGCTTCCAAAGAAGGAGCCTTCACCACACTCCAGGGCAGAGAGTTCCACTGCTGAACAGCTCAAACAGTCAGGGTTCTTCCTAATGTTCAGATGGAATCCCCTTTCTTGTAGTTTGAAGCCATTGTTCTGTTGCGTCCTAGTCTCCAGGGTAGCAGAAAACAAGCTTGCTCCCTCCTCCCTATGACTTCCTCTCACATATTTATACATGGCTATCATGTCTCCTCTCAGCCTTCTCTTCTTCAAGCTAAACATGCCCAGCTCTTTAAGCCGCTCCTCATAGGGCTTGTTCTCCAGACCCTTGATCATTTTAGTTGCCCTCCTCTGAATACATTCCAACTTGTCAATACTTCATTTAGGTTTTCTGATCATTGTTTAAATTATCCATGATGCTCTCAGTTTGGCAGAGAAAACTATATTTGTTATTCTTTTTTCCGTACAGAATGTCTTGAGAGGCGCAGAGAAAATGGAGAATGACATTGTATTATTCCTCAGATTCTGAATATTACATTAGACGATGCCATGTACTTTGTCTCTGTCTCTTATGCTGTCTATTAATCTTCTAAGTACTACAATGCAGAGTCTATTACTTTTGTTGCAACACACAAACCTACTGTTATCCTAACTAGGACATACTCATTGAATTCATGATTTACCAAATTGATTCAATGGGTATAGTCTAGTTGGGACCAATAGCATTTTGCTTTGGTAGGAAAGAGTAATCATGTTGATGGAATCCTGAGCACAATCCATACAAACTTCCTCAATTAATAATGTGAAGGAAGGTTTCATCAAAGTGCAATGTGCTTGCACAGGAGAACCTTCTTGTAAATTAGTCTGATGAGGAAGGATAGGCTTATAGCTTACACCTTATTAGTTTGTAGAGTGGTGTATGCTGAACTTGGAGACTGGGGTGTAATGTTTTTCTTGACATTATTAAAACTAATTTGTTGTTAGTAGTTTGGGACATTTTCTAAGAGGTAGCACTGCAAGTTGCTAAGTATTGTTGATGATGTGTTGTCGAAGGCTTTCATGGGCAGATTAACTGGGTTGTTGTGAGTTTTCCAGGTTGTATGGCCATCTTCCAGAAGCATTCTCTCCTGAAGTTTCACCCACATCTATGGGTTAGAAACTTAGTTAGAAACTAAGGAAGTGGGACTTCTATATCTGTGGAATGCTCAGGGTGGGAGAAAAAACTCTTGTCTGCTCGAGGCAAGTGTGAATGTTGCATTGGCCGCCTTGATTAACATTGAATGGTCTTGCAGCTTCAAAGACTGGCTGCTTCCTGCCTGTGGGAACCTCTTATTGGGAGGTGTTAGCTGGCCCTGATTGTTTCAACCAAAGAAGTCAGCCATAGCAGTGCACCCGATGAACCAACCTGGACACAGCCTATTATTTGAGAACACAGAAATGATGGACCACTCTAACAACCACCATGTCAGACTACACAGAGAAGCAATTGAAATCCACAACCATGTGGACAATTCAACAGAAAGGAGGAAACTATGAAAATGAAAAAATCTGGCTACCAGTATTTAAAAAAAACTTTAAAATCAGGACAGTAAGCAAGGAGAAACACTAAAAAAACAGGTGAATTCCTGACATGAAACAATGCGGGCCAGGTAACACCTCCCAACAAAGGATTCCCCCAGGCAGGAAGCAGACAGTCTTTGAAGCTGCAAGACCCTTCAGTGCTAATCAAGGTGGCCAATTGCAACATTCACACCTGCCTCAAGCAGATAAGATTTCTTTCTATCACCCTGGGCATTCCACAGGTATATAAACCTCACTTGCCTAGTTTCCAACAGACCTCACAACCTCTGAGGATGCTTAGCATAGATGTGGGTGAAATGTCAGGAGAGAATGCTTCTGTAACATGGCCATACAGCCCTGAAAACTTACAGCAACCCATTCCTGGTGATGTGTCTGTCCAAGGTGATATGTCCATGATAGTATTGTTCACTATTGTTGATACTAAATCAGTAGGGGTTCCGTTCTTTTACAGACACTTGGATATTGTGGTCTTTCTTGATCTTTGTTTCTAGGACATTGGAGTCAGAAAAACCCTTCCTGTTATTTCATACTTTGGACTAGTCTCCCAAACGGACAGCCTTCATACTAGATAACCTTTTCCTCCATAGGCTTACAGTTCTGTAATTTTAGAGACAATGTGCTTCTATGCCTCCTTTATTCCTGTTGTTCCTTTTCAGGTGGCTCGTTCAGTTAAGCTTCATGGCCATGGCTTCCTGACTCTGGCACTGAGGAATGTGCCTTCTCTGCAAGATTTCTACACTGGTTTCAGCTTCCGCACCAGCCAAAGCCGTGGCTTGATGTACCACCATGCTACAGAGGTATGCTGTTCTTCCATCCCAACGTGACATCTACCAGCTCTCTCAAGGGACTCGTTACCAGGAAGGAGAGGAATAGTTTCTCAGAGGAATATTGAGGCAAAATAATGTTAGATTATGCTGCAAAAGATTCCCATCTCACCTGTTCCCAATGTGGTCCACAATGTAATACAATGTGTGCCAATGGGCAAGCTCTGTGCCTCAGTCCTGCCCCAGATTTCCTTACCCTTTCACTCTGGTTGGGGTTTCTTGAAGCCTTGAGTGTTGTGGAACAGGTTTTAATCCCCCTGCCTTTATTCTCCAAATTGAAAAGATAAGTAATTGAATATGCCCCTCCTGGAATATTAATGGTAAATGGGTCTATATTAGTTGTTATATTGTATTATATCCCTCTAAGTCCCACCTTGGAGTTTAAGATCTTCTAGGGAGGCCCTGCTCTCGACCCCACCTCTGGTGTAAACACGCTTGGCAGGGACGAGGGATGGGGCCTTCTCGGTGGTGGCCCCCCACCTGTGGAACTCACTCCCCAGTGAAATAAGGTCAGCTACATCTCCTTCAGGAAGAAATTGAAAGCATGGTTGTGGGACCAGGCTTTCGGGTAGCACGCTGATAATGACAATGACAATGACAATTTATTTATTTAGGACATTTATATGCTGCTCTTCTCACCCCGAAGGGGACTCAGAGCAGCTTACAAGTAAAAAGTAAATATAATATATTATTATCATAGCACAATATTAATATTATATTTTACATTGTACTATAACATTATACTGTCATATTATTAGTAATATTACATTTAATATAAAATATATAATTAAAATATCACATTATTTTTAGTAGTATATTGTATTATGAACAAGCTGAAGATTAATCCCAACAAGACAGAGGTCCTCCTGGTCGATCGTAAACCGGATCGGGGTATAGGGTGGCAATCTGTGTTGGACGGGGTTACACTCCCCCTGAAGTCACAGGTCCGCAGTTTTGGTGTCCTCCTGGACTCGTCACTTATGCTTGAGGCTCAGGCGTTGGCGGTGGCCGGGAGGGCTTTTGCAAAATTGAGACTCGTGCGCCAACTGCGACCATACCTCGTAAAGACTGATCTGGCCAGGGTGATCCATGCCTTGGTCACCTCTAGATTGGACTACTGCAATGCGCTCTATGTGGGGCTGCCCTTGAAAATGGCTCAGAAATTCCAACTGGTCCAATGGTCGGCGGCCAGACTGTTAACCAGCGCACCTTACAGAGAGAGGTGAACCCTCCTGTTTAAAGAGCTCCATTGGCTGCCGTTCATCTTCTGGTCCCAATTCAAGGTGCAGGTGCTCACCTACAAAGCCCTAAACGGTTTGGGGCCCGCCTACCTGCATGACCGCATCTCCATATATGAACACACACGTTCTCTTCGATCATCTGGAGAGGCCCTGCTCACGATCCCACCTGCGTCGCAAGCGCGTTTGGTGGGGACGAGGGACAGGGCCTTCTCTGTGGTGGGCCCCCCAACTCTGGAACTCTCTCACCAAGGACATCAGACAAGTCCCAATGTTGGCAATCTTTAGGAAGAGCCTGAAGACCTGGCTGTTCCAGTGTGCCTTTCCAGATTAGGAAAGGCACACTGGAACAGGGTTGAGAAGGGCGGGGTACAAATGCTTGAAATAAATAAATAAATAAAAATGTTGCAATTAGTTGACACCTTTTGACTCTGACATGCCAAATTTACTCTTTATCTCTCCCTAGGAAGGGACCTGTCAGGTTTCCTTGCAAAATGGCAGAGTGGCAGTCAATGTCTTGACAACAGAACTCACAACAAAGAATGCATATGCAGATGACACAAGCCACTACGTTGCCATCTACAGCGACTCTTCGGGGTATGTTTCATAGCCATCCTTTGCAATATTAATTAGTCCCAAGTGCCCTCTCTTTGCCACATGCAGGAAGGCAGTTGCACAAATGAATCTGTCGCTCCGAAATCAATTGCATCTCCTTTGCAGGATCCGAGTTTACGTAGATGACCAGCTTCAGGGAACCAAACCAGGGACTGATCGCCTCAGGAGGCAGAAGCGACAGGACGAGCCAGCAGTCTTTCAGCTGGGTGGCATGCCCCAGGCCAGTGAAATGGGCAACCTCACAGGATGTATTGGGAATGTCTTTGTCAGACGGTGAGTCATCCCTCTTATATTCAGGAAGCCTGATCTACCC